GCGGCTCTGGTGGCCGTGTGTGTCGGGATAGTAACCCCTTTTGCCCTTTCCCCTGCCGCAGGAGGCGGTTTTCTCTCCCAGTGCGGCGCTGGTCTGTTTTGATTAAATCACAACCGTGGGCTTTCTCTGCTCTTCTGAAAAGTAAAGGTCTTCAAGTTCTTGGGCAAGCTACTCCAGTTTATAACTTATTCTTGTGCTAGTATTCAACCCACAGAGCGGGAATGTGAGGCCAGGAGTCTTAAGTTTATTTTAGGGTTGTTTGAAATGAGTAGGAACTAGTTCAAGTTCTTGACGTTTAAAGAGCATGCTGTTCATGTATTTAGGGACTTGCCACAGGTCAGAACTCTGTGTGTAGTAGATGTTGCTTTCCCGCAGCAGAACTGTTCTTTGTGAGACTTGCTTTTTACGTTTGGAAATAGATTTTTATTTTATTATCTCCCCTATTGGAGGATATAAGTAGCTATGATCTGTAATGGAACACAGCCGGTTCACTCCTACGATAAATGTTTTGGTTTTATTTTGGTGTGTGTGGTTCTTGTTTTTATTTTTTCCCCGAAAGTGGGTAGTAGTAGCAGCAGCAGCAGAGGCAAACTACAAAATAAGTTTTGAAGCTTCTGTTCGTTTCCTAATGTTTTGATAGCAATAAAAGAGGCATTTCTGCCTTTTAATGCGGTGGGGGGGGAGGGGGAAAGAAGGAGGGGAGTAGAGTGGAGTGGAGTGCAAAACCAAATGGAACGTGGAGATGGACCTCTTGTGCTTGCATGGCCCCTGCAAGATAAGGTTTATATATTTTTCCAGGGCAGAAGAATGTGTTCTTTCCAGTGATGCATCCCTTTAATGTGTTCTGACCTCAGTTCTGTTCCATAGCAATAAATTTCTCAAGTGGAGGAAATAAATCAGATGTGTTAGTGGGTTTTTTTTGGTTTCATTTGGTTTTTGGTTTTAATAAGAGCTGTTTTTTCAGGTTTTAACTATTTCAAGTTAATAGTAACATCTTGCATTTGCTAGAAATTGCAAGAGCTAAACGTTAAACTTAGGCATTTGGACAAAATGCTACTGGGAAACTACTACTGCAAATTAAAAATGCATAAATTGTGGAGGAAGATAAACATAGCAGTGAGGATATGAGTTCTTCAGTTTTATTTCTGAAGATCTAGTTTTCCTACTATAATATCTCACTCTTTCCTGCTACTTAGTTACTTTTGAGACCAAAATATATATTTAGATGACCAATCTGTGCTTAGCGTATCTCAAGCTCCTGCGGAGCAGCAGTTTGATCAAGATGTCTCGATTCCTCTACTGAAGAGCTGCTAGACAGTGTATGTTAGAAATTTGTTAATAGATTGATTCCCTTTTGAGCAGATTCTAATGGGATCTTCATTCTAAACTGAGCTTTCAGTCTCAGTTGCACATCTACTTTGTTTGTGACAAGAGATGAGTGGTGGGGTTTTTTGTTTTTTGTTTTTTTTTGGATACTTGTCTGTTCTTGCAAGGGTACTGAAGCCTCTGAGCCTCATGAAGAGGTTCACCAGGCGCTGACCCATGCCATGTAAATATGTAAGATATTTAGATGCTCTGAAAAAGAAAGTGACAAGCTCCGGAACTGACAATTCTCCTTTTCCACATCCTTTTATGCTGGATGCTCCTTACGATCTTAGAGTCATGCAGGAGCCACAAAACTCAAAGTGAGTCCCCAGGAGTACAGGAAAATTACTCTCCCAAGACAGTTCTTGATTTACTTTAAAATATGAAAAGAGAAGGGAGAACTTAATGTGGTGTTTACTTGCATAGTAATAAGTGTGTAGCACTCACTGCCTGAAGATACCAATTTTAGTTACTTCAGCGTCCCTGGACCCTTCTAAGACATTGTAACAACAGTCTTGCAGAAGAGAGGCTAGAGGTAGGCACAAATATCAGAGGTCAAGTCCAGCTGTGGTTGAACTTTTTCCCAGTTGTATTCAGTAAAACTTAATCAGCAGTTCAGGTTTGACTGGGGGGGGGGGGGGGGGGGCAGGATCGACAAAGGTTCGAACTTGCAATAAAACCACTAACTATATATTGTAATAGATCAAAAATTTTAAGTATGTATTACTAACAACTAAATCTAATATAAATGACTTTCTTTCTAGTTGTTTACCTGTCTCTCTGATTTGATATGGATAAAGTAAATATTAAAACCCTGGGAAGTATCAGTGTTTATCAGTGGTTTTTTTTTTTTCGTTGCAAGGTCTTTGGTATTCAGGGTACTGGAATAGCAAAGACTAGTAGACTACACTTCTTTATCAAGCTTCTCAATATATCCTAGTTAATCGCATTTGGCTCATTAATGAACTACAGTGTTATGTGAAATTCACATTCGGACACTGAAGTACTCAATTTTTTTACCCAAGCAGCAGAGTTGCTGCTAATTAAATACTGAGCTATTAAGTCACAGATTCCACTTAACTGTGAAATAATGAAAATCAGCCTAATATTTTCTTCATTTAAAATATACTAATTGGGAAAACATCTTTTTGGCTCATAAATCATTTTGTCAAAGTGGTTTTGGAGCCAAACTGTCTTTTAGTATTACCCTTAACTCTTTGGCTAGGCTGTAGAATAGCTGAGAGCTTTGAACTATTTTTACACGCTGTTATCTTTCCCCCTCCCCCTTGCATAAAATATATTATCCTCAGAACTTAAATAATGGCACTTAATTTTGTGCTGTGAGGAGGGAAGAGCAAGAAATTGTCATTTGAACTAAGGGAACGGAAGGCAGACATTGGGAAGACAAATGTACTACACTTGGGAAGGAAGTGGTACGTGGTCCCTCTTCAAAGCTTGATTTAACGTCTTGAGGTGCAAATCAGTTAAAAGATTAGACTTAATCTTTTTGGTCATAACACAGTGTGTGTATATACACTGAAAAATAGTTCTGAATGTAATCTGATCAGTGGTTAATTAAGTCAAATGCCTCAATATTTGAAGCAGTCTTTATAGAACAGAAGAAAGTCTTAAGTTTACTAGGCTGCCATATAGTGCATAACTAGTGGCAAAAGCTAGCAGCTTACAAAAAGTAACCTAAAACAAGTCAGAACTGGAGCTTGAAAATTCATCATTTTCTTCTGTTGAAAATGTATTTAATTAGTGATGTTCTGAAGGACTTGTGTAGTTTATAGGCCCTCTGAGAAGCCAGTGTTTCCCTTGAGATATACATAATTGCCTGTTAACCACAGGAAATTTAATTCTTCATGTATTTGAGAGCATTCTGTAATATTTTCCTTGGAGAAAAGGTAACTGAGATACTAAAGTATCTAAGAATGTCTGAATGGTTAATAAGCACCACTAATTTCCTCAAATTATTGTAGCAGGGTTAGCGCTGCAGTGGGCCACCATGTACTGACAGCACAACTGGAATTCTGTCGTGTATTCAGTAGTGGTTTTTTTTTTTTTTAATCTGTTGCAAGAATATGAGGTCATAGAATAAAATTACTCCCTTTAAAATTTCTCTTGAGGGAGAATTTTGTTCTGACAGCATCTTTTCAATGGCTCCTACTTCTTTTTCTTGTGAATGAAATAACATCTGAAGTGCAGTTTCTTTGTTAACTAAGTCTTCGGACGTAACCAAGATCCAGATACATACCTCTATTTTACTTATTAAACAAATGATAGTGGTGATAGGTATATAACACTATGAGGAATATTAGACTGAATATAGGGTTTCCTGTCCATATTTGCTGTGTTTCAGGATTAATGCTCCTTTCTAAAAATAGCTTTGTCTGGCATGAATTTAACCGCTAGCTTGATGTTGAAATTATGTTTTATGGTCATCTAAGCAAAACTGACTTTGAATAAAACTGGAAGGAAGGATTTGAAATACTGACTGTCTCAGGAACTCATTAAAACTCTATCTGGAGTTTTTAAAGCCTTTGAGTTGGGGTGTCTGCTCTGCCAATTTTTGAGGACGTGTAAGTACTTAAATTGGAAGCCAGCTGTCTTCTAATCTTTAAAGTATATGGCAAATGAGCGTGAGTAGTCCGATGTGAGATTTTAAAATAAAGATCTTTGTAAGCTACAATTCATATGACTGTAGTAATGGACTGTAATATTCTTATGAGTAATGTGCATATTAATGTTATATTGAATGTTGCATAGTTCTTAACAAGCGCTTAAAATGTTCATGTTAATGGAGTGGCAATATTCCTTTCACTAATTCTGTGAGCCTGTTTAGTGGAAGAATTCTAGTATTATTCTGGCTGTCGTAAAGGCTTGTTAACTACATGTAGAGTTAAGAACAGTTGGAGAAGGCAGGCCAACTGCACAGTACCAACTCCTCCTCAAAAAGAGGAAACGTGCAGTAGGGAGAAGGATTAAAAACCTTTGTCAGAAGAGGGTTATGAGTTCCTTTTGACCACGTGGCTAGTAAAACCCCGAGTTCAAGTACAGTTTAACGATGAAAAACAAACTGTCTTTGGCTAATGTTCTGTGTGACTGGAGAATCCTCCCTGAATGTGAGTGAGCCACTCTATTGCAACCATCTCATCTAGAACTATTATTGTATCATCTACGGTGATGACCTGCGCTCTGCATACTTTCTTCTGCAGTTTGCTGTTTCAGTCATCATGCTCGGCTGTTACTAAGAGTGCTGAAGGTGCAGAAAGAACGTTCAGTTTATGTTGGAGTTCAGAACCTGCCTTGTGGAATGAGTGGGACGCTGGTTCTTCCTTAGATCGCTTCTTTATTGCTGTCTGTGTCTGTTGATGTCTAGAAGCTGCATAGTGGCATCTCAGTGAAATTAAGATGACTCTGATAAGCTCTATGCCCTTGTTCCTTTTGCATAGGGCACTGAGTTTCAGCAGGGACTTACTGTCTAAAATCGACACTTCTCATTCCCCCGTTTCCCCCAAACAAGAACAACAGAAGTATTGGCCTGCAGAAGAAAATCATACGCTTCATGGTGTGGTAGAGAGGCATTTATCAGTCACACAAGTACAAAATCTAGGCCCTTTTCTTGTCACTAGTATTTCTATTGTCAAGCTACTGTTGAAGTATTTTTGAAAATGTGGTTCACGTATAACACACGAGGTGGGGATAGTATTTAAAACTAGATGAAGTCTAGTAACTTAGAAGTTGTTGCCATGCAGAGTCTTGATGGTGTTTTTCCTGATGTTGAGACATGTATGTTTTTTCCCCCCACTCAGACAGAACTCAACAACAGTAGTGAAAATCATAGGTGAAAGTGTTTCCTGAGTATTCATAGCTTTTCAAAAGACAATGTAATGTGTGAAATGCGTACATTTTAAGTAAAAGTTTATACTAAAAGCAATTGCTTCTGTTTTAGAGGGACTCCAAATATGTCTGGCATAGCCCTCAGCAGACTTGCACAGGAGAGAAAAGCCTGGAGAAAAGATCATCCATTTGTAAGTATGAGAACTGTCAACTTTCTGACTTCTATAGCTGTTTTGATGATTCTTTCCCTGATGTGTGTTTTTAGTGGTGTTATTTTTAAACACGTGACCAAACAAAAAAGCTACTTAAAACTATGTAGTGCAAAACAAAATAACACCATGTATAAAAAGAAGATAGATAAAGTATGCTAAGTATATCTTCTGAAATCCTCACCCTTTGGCTTTTTGCCTTAATTCAGGGATTTGTAGCAGTACCTACAAAAAATCCAGATGGCACAATGAATCTAATGAACTGGGAGTGTGCTATTCCAGGAAAGAAAGGGGTAAGATTTACTGTTGTCCTAACATCTCACTTGTATACTGAAAAGTAACATAAGCCTGCTCATGTATTAAGGTGAGAACTGAGAGTATAACGTACCTGCAGTTTAATGCAAATGTTTGGATCCTTCTGCTATGGAATCCAGATGGAGTAGATGGAGAATGACACTGGACTAAATACACCATGAGTCTGTTTGACTGTTGGCACTGACTACTTTAAGAAACAAGTGTTTCAGAGGAGTGTGCGAGAATCCTGCATAGAGCAGACTTGAGATAATCTTCTGCTTCATGACAGGATTTATTGTGACTTCTGCTCTTATTAAATGCTGGTTTAAGCCCTAAAGCTTGAAGATTAGTATTTCCAAAATGTTGCCTCTGCTCATTAATTGCCAGTGCCTCTCTTTTGTCCACTGAATAGTGAGTCCCTTCAGTCTTACAGAAGTGCTGTGCTGTAGCACTGTTCTTAATTTTATGGATTTCATGCAAAATAACTTTGCTTTATCATCGTGGAAAATTTCATAAATTGAAGATATGAGATTCCCTTTTTATTTTGGGAAAAGAAGAATAGAGCTTTCTAACATAGTGTTTTTCTAGCTGATTTCATTTATGCTTTTATGTTCACTTCCTAAAAATAAATAAATCTGCTCTCTACAAACCTATTTCTTTCCCTTGTTACTGTAATTAGTTTAGTCTGGTTTTAAGGGAGCAAACCAACAGAACTTCTAGATGGAGATAATCGTTAATGCATGAAGCTTTTCTTGATTGCTACACTGCCATTATAACTTCTCATTTTTGGATGCTATTTCGCTTCCTCTTAAGCTTTTCCTTAGCAAGGAGAAATTGATTATTCTTGAACCCAGTGGGTGCATTCTTTTCTGGAATAATGCTATTAATTTCTTAGTGTTTTTAATTCCTGCTAGCCTTTGGTGTTTTGCATTGGATGTAGAATTTCTTTTGTTGCTTTGACTGTTTTACCACCCCTTCATACCAACTTGCTTAAGGCCCCCTAAAATCTGGTCTCATGGATTTTTGACAAGGAAAGTATATGTTAGTAAAACATGCTGATTCGTTAGCAAATATGCTGATTCCATACTATTGCCCAGTTTGTTTAGTGCTGAACGTGGCATCGAGTGTTGCTGTTAAAGATCTAACTTGAATAGACAGCTACCAAAGCATGGAGCTAATTGATGCTTCATTTTTGTATGACTCTCTGAAACTGTGTACCTCAAGTTATTTCTTAAAGAAGCATCTAAAAATAATTTAATCGTATAAGGAAAAACTCATCTCAGGGTATTCTGCCAAAACAAGATTATCACTTGTAATGGCTAACTATGTATTTTGTCAAGATGTCACCTTTAAATATTTATGTTAAGAAATCTTAACGGTACTGCTCTGTAAATTGTAAAATGAAGCACATAAAACCCTTAAAGGCCAACTTCTTGCCTCCTAGAACACAGCGTATCCCAGGACAAGATCAGATAAAACTCATGTAATTCTTGGATAGAGATCTGTAATAATTCAGGGTTTTTACTTCTGAACAGACTGAATTTTTTCTAGAAGCAGCATGTGGTGTTCGTCTCTGCCAGACCAACCAGTTGCTGTATATTGCCTTTGTATTTGGCGGTGCACTGTACTGCAGCTGCCACCTCTGAGACAGATCAGTGGATGAAATCACCTACACGGCATAGGAGATGTATGTTTGGATCCTTGATGCTAGGTTTTATCAAAACTTAATCGTCCTCCAAAGAGTCTTAAAGACCTCTGATGCTGGTGCACAACTTACTGAGTTGTTCCTTCTCGTGACTGTCTGATATAAGGTTCAGTTTGATTCACTTACCAGGCTTGAATCCTTCTCTTGAATCCTTGCTATCTAATCACTTTTCCCTGTCTGGTATGTGCATACTTGATTATTCTAATCTAAATGTAGAATCTTGCACTTCTGCCTGAGTTGCATCCATTTCTTTTCCAAACTGTTTAAGCATATTCAGTGTAAGTAAGTCTGAACCCAAAATGCTTTATCATCTGCCTGTCATTCCTGTCAGCTTGGTTCTGCCTGCAGATTTATTGTATGTCTTCTCCTGTGCTATCAGCCAGCTCACAAGCTGAAGTAGCAAACGGTATTAGACCTGGAATGGATGTCTCCATACACGTCTTTTTTGACAGTGAATCATTTATTAACTGCCTGTAATATGACTTGAAGATACACCTGCAATCTGTCCAGGAGCATAGTAGGATCTGGATGATACTGCTATGTCATACTTTTATCTTAGTAAGGTTTTTGAATGTCTGCTATTTTACATCCATAAAGTGTATTGGTCTATCAGAAAGAGTCAAAACTTGTTATTGACTGTTCTTGCATTCTACTTGAGTGGTTTATCAAAAGTCATTTGTCTTCCCCCAAGACTGAAAACAAACAAAATAAGAAAATTCTATCAAAAGGCTTCTGTTTCTCTTTTAAAAATGGACAAGTTTGTCTCCTCTGAGAAAGTGTGGAGAACAGATATTTCTAGTTGATCACAACTGACTATCACCAACTCGGAACCTGTTCTTTAAGTACGCTATAGTAAATTTAGTCAAGATCATTCACTCTTAAAAACGCTCCTGTCTTGGTATTCTTCAGCATTTTCCCCCCCCCCCCCCTATTTTAGCCTGAGACTTTGCACAATGAAAACCAGCAACAACAGAATACACTTTTTCCACTAAAAATCACCTGGTTCAGGTAGGGAAGAGGTAGGGCTTTTCTCCTAAGGTGATCTTAGAATGTATCTGTTTGTCCTCGAGGACACAAGTTGATCGCTTATGTTGATAGCTTGTTGGGACTGTTGTCACTCAGATTTGTCTCTAAAGGACAAATCCAACACTTATTTTCATTTTAGTGAGTCTATAGAAAGAGCTAGTTACAGATGAGTGATCTACCATTTTAGAGATTACTCTTTCACATTTCTTACCAGAAGTCAGTTTCTCAGGAGAGAGGCTTTTCTCCTTATGTTCCAAGTGAGGTGACAAGGCAGGATATCTTTTGAGGCAGGCTTTCTGTCTTTTGCTAGATGTTTGTACTTCTTTAGGTAACCACCTTGAGTAGTGCCATCTTATTTAGTCCCTGATGTTGTGTAGTGCTAGAACTGCTCTAACAGAACAGTGTTCGCGATTTCTGACAGGGATGAAAACCTTCTTGGTTTGTCTATGTTTTATACAAAAAGAAGTAATCTGCAAGGTTACGTGCTACCAAATGCAGACAGGAATAATTTAGACTAGTGAAGAACCTAATGTAAATCTAGAATGCACTGTAATATTATTAGTCATTGTTGGTTTGGGGGTTTGTTTATTTTTATGCTTTTTCTCAGGCCAAGCTCTCCTGAGTCAAAATAGAAGCTGTTTATATCCACCCGCTTAAATGGTGTATCCATATCCTATCTTCTCAGATTTATTTTAAGTGTGGGTATAATGTTCATCCCTCGTTACATGTTTAGCATCTAAAACTTTGCTTTATTCTTCTAAATACTATGACAGTTTATACTTGTATTTGAAATTATTTGTGTTTGTATTGAATTTCTTGACTGACTCTGCAACACTTATTAGCAATAATCAAGTGGAGAAAGCAAGTATTTTTTTTTCTTCCAACTGCTAACGATATGGGTAGAATAACTAGTCTCAATGTAGATGTCCCTGTACATCTTTGTGGATTTGGTATGCAGATACAACACAGATATTACTGCTATGTTAAAGCAGACATGTACTCTTAAATGAATCTGTGGTTTGTTTTGTTTCAAACTCTTGAGATTTTGTTTACTTTTGAAATCAAATTCCAAACTACTGCTTAGTATATGAACTGATTGTTTACTCTGTCAATTAAAGTGTTGTACTAGATAGTTCTCTCAACATATTCTTAATAAAACCAGCAAAAAGCTAATTAGGCAGGAGGACAAACATTTCCTACTGGTGTAGCAAAAGGAAGTGTCTTACTATGCTGTTTTGTTTTTGTTCATTTGACTTTTCCTTGCTGTAATCTGAGTTCTACTTAAACTTCTTTTGATAGACACCATGGGAAGGAGGCTTATTTAAACTACGGATGCTTTTCAAGGATGACTACCCTTCTTCACCCCCAAAATGCAAGTAAAATGACCAAAAAACACAGGTTAAATAGAACAACAGGTTAAAGCAGTCCATGAGGCTGTTTGAATGGTTACTACTTCTTATTGATTTCCTACTGAAGCGTGTTTTCCTTCCCACCCTGCTTTTGCGTTTAGGGGGAAAAAGTGATGAAATGAGCAAAATGCGCAGTATTAGAAAGCTGAGGAGTAGAGGGCTGCTTTGTGGATTTCCTGAAAGTTTGACAGAAGCATCAGTTGAAGTGTCCCCTACTTGATCAGCACTCCTCAGAATCAAATAGCCAGGCATGGTTAATCTAAACTTCTTGGGACATTTTCTTCCTTAAAGTTGGTCTTTTAAGCTGAGAACTCACTCAGAAAGCAAGATATTAGACAAATTTAAAAAAAAATAGTTCCATCAACTTTAACCTTTTTATCTATTAACACTAAATGTGGACCTGTTTGTTTTGTTTTTTATTTTTTTCATATTACATACAACAAATATACTCAGATGTCTTCTTTCCTTGTTAAGATAAGGAAACTTTTAAGACACACCTCACTTATAAACTTTAGAAGTCTGACATGATGTGCCTTGTCTAGTTCCTAGGGCTGTTAAAAAGGCTACTCCCACAAGTCAATGGACATGATAACAAACAGCTCTTTAGACAATGGTTCACTACTTTAGTGTTTCAGCAGTGTCCGTTTTCTTGGCTATTCCTTTAGTTTGTCTCCACCTAAATTCTTGTGACACAAGAAGAAACATACTTTTTAAACTAGAAAATATTTTAACATGAATATCTCAAGAAATACCAACTAGTTTAGCACGCTTTGCAAGTGCTGAATGAACTATCATCCCTTAAGGTATATCTGTGAGTTACCAATTATTATGACTTATTTCTTACCAGTACAGCTCCTCAGTTCCCACTGAACTTCATTGAGGGGCTCATAAGCAAACTTAGTTGTGATGTAGGTTGAATAGAAAACTGCACCAGTATCTAAATATTTTTCTACTTGAGTAATGCAATGAACGGTTACTAAGATTGTGGCTTTTGCATTTAAGTCCTGCATAGATTAAAGAAATGTCAGAATATGTATTGTTTGGCAAAGAAATAACTGCACAAGCCTACCTCAGTGAGTCTTGCAATTGAAACTTGGTTCCTCATGTTCAGTGCATGTTGGTTATACATAAGCTTCTGGCACTTTTTTCAGTTTCACTTTTCTTTTAACTTAAATTTTTCTGCATGGACCTTTCAGTATTTTAAAGTGAGGGGAAAACAGATGAATGAATGGTAGTATCTCTCCTGTATGGAGTAATATGTGTCGCTATAAATATAGGATTAGTTTAAAAGGCTTTTTATCATAAAGACATTACAAACTTATTTGGTCATTTTTTACTCTTACTTCGAAAGATTGCTGATCACAGTGATACTGATATATTTATTGCCTGGACTGATCTCGCAGGCACTTGATGGAGTTTCTGTTTTAGATGCAGGCTGAGCCAAGAGGAAAACTAGTAGCAGTAGCCCTGAAAAATCTCTTTGGGGATTGTCTGTCTGTGTCTCTCTTTTTCCTTTATTCCTTCCACTTCCCTCCCCCCCCCCCCCCCAAAAAAAAAAAAAAACCCTTTTTTCTTTGGCCTTTTTTTTTTTTTTTACTTTGT